ACATATTAACTTACCCACCAGGAAGAGCTCAAGCTTCGTCTCAAGTCACCAGGAAGAGGGCAATCATCATTGAATGTAGAGATTAGGGTTCTTCTATGGGAATTTTCTGATGCAAGTTGGAAGCCCTGAGTTTAACTTATAATTATATTTTAATTAAAATCTTAACAATTAGAGATGACCTAGCAGCCACCTAATAAATTAAAATGTGGTTACTTGTTTTATTCTAATTGGCTAGAGCATAGATGAGGTGGTGTACCCAAGAATTCCTCTTATATTATCATCAAAATCCATATGAGTAACATTAAACTAATTTTTCTTCCTATTTTGGGGAGACACAATCAAGGTGCATATTTACTTCTGATACCCAAATGCCATATATGAATCAGATGCATATACAATGATGTACATATAAACATATGTATGGATGTATGTATATTCAACAGGTCGACATTTTCATTTCTTAAAGAGTATAAGATACGATACTTCTAGGATGCGTTTATATATTCATGAAAAAAAAAAATATAGTTGGAATTCAAACCAATGTAGACTAGAATATAGTCCTTTGTTACTACTGAATACCAAAAAATACATAATTTAATATAAGAACAAGTTGGGAGTTTAAATTTGATCCTAAATATAAAATCTTAATTTATTTTGTTTCTTAAATTTATAATTTTCCCCCCAAAATATTCTTAAGGAGTTCCTATCAAAAATCAATTCAAATATATTCCTTTAGTCGTAAATATAAGATCTATTTCTTAAGGTAACCTATTTCGTAGTATAATTTTCACTACAAAATAGATCTTATATTTAGAAGAGGAGGAGTATATAATTAAAAATGATAGTTTAAAAAATCAAGGCGCATTTATTATAAATAATAAACCTGACTAATTTTCTTAATATCTATTAGTTATCTAGTTCTTCCATTAAAAAAATGGAGGTAATATCAATCTTTTTTTGGAGCCTTTTGAAATAGTTTATAAATAACTTTTTAATCGTGATTTATGAAATACAAGATAAATATACGAGAGAAGTTTTGTTATATGAATTGTGCTTATAAGTTATTTTAAAACCATCTTCCCTTGCTTGACGTCATACGCAAGCAAACATAATAGTATTCTAAAATTTTCTAGCGCCATCAAAGTAATTCCGTGCATCCCCCCTTTTTGCCAGGTAATTCCATGAATTTCCGCTTATTCTTTTCCCTCCTATATAAAATGAAAAGCTTTAACATCATAATCTTTAGCTCAGGCAAAAAAAAAAAAACATCATAATCTTTAGCAGAATTTAATTTCTATATAAAAATTTCTTGAAGTATCCACTAAGATTCTAGGAGTATCCGACATGTATAAAAAATTTTAAATTTTTTCTTAAAAAAGTATTTCAATTTCGATAGTATGTATCTGCTCCCTTGATCTTATAACTATATGAATATTAAGTAAATTAATTATTTATAATAAATAGGTGTTGTCTTTCCTACAATATCATTATTAATCATGTGTATTGAAACTACTACCTCTGGTCCTTAATATAAGATCTCATTTGATTTTTATTTTGATCTTAATTATGAGACTCTAATCCACTTTGTCTCTCATATTTATGCATTTTTTCCAAGATAGTCCTTCTAATAATAGTAGTTCTAGCCAATACACTTGATTGGCAAGGATATTTTAGGAAAGACAACATCTATTTATTACAAATAACTAACTTAACTTATTTTCTTAATCTCCTCAAATTAGTCAACTAGCTCTTATAATTAGGACCGGAGGTAGTATCATTTAATATAAATTCTTTAACACATGCAATCAATATAAGGATTACTTTGAAGAAAAAAAGGACAAATATGTGAAATGAGGTGGATTTATGTCTTATATTTAAGATTAAAGTATTGTGGTGTATGATTATCTAGTATAATACAATACCAATACATCAAACAATTTGAAGTATTGATGCTTCATTGGAGTGTTCTTTTAATTTACTCTGAGTACAAAAGGCAAACAATAGACCGTTCCCAATTATGTTACTACATGTACAGGGTTGACATCTAAACTCACAATCGCTTGATTAAATATTTTGGCCAATTTTACTATTTATAAATTATACCCTATGTAACCTATTACTTAGTAATCAGAAAAAGTAATCTAGCAAAAATGTAAAAACAATTGTTGTATAATTAATTTATTTTTTTAAAATAAAGAATACGGGCTAGATATGCATCCGAATATGTAACAATTAGCGGCTTTAAGGAATGACTCAAAACAATGGCAAACTGCCTTAATGGTAATAATGTCACCTTTAGATAAAGTTTTGAGTTTGAGTTGAGTGTTGATATTGTGGTTTTTTTTTGTGTGCGTGGTATTTGAATTGTATAAACCAAACAAAAAAGGGAAGGCACTAAAATAAGAGAACCTAAAAAGGAATTATAATATACATATTTTTGCCAAAAAAGTGAATTATAATATATGATTTTTAATTAATTATTATATATAAAACTAGTGCTAAATTTTAGTAATATCATACGCATGCTATTTATAAAAATTATAGTATATAAAGCTAATATATGTGTGGTTCACATATAACTGATAATTCAAGTATGTTGTCAAAAAAGTTGTATATTTAACACTTAGAAACCGTCAAATATTTAAATCTAATTTAAAGTTTGTTTTATTTGACAGTTAAAAATACTAAAATAAAATTATTTTACATGACGATGATATATTTTACCAAAAAAAACTGTCAAACATAGTTACTTTATTTGAAAGTTTTTCTTATGTGAAACACTGATCAAGGCAAATGACCTGCCCAAGAGTTAATCAACGCTATCTAGTTGACTAGTATTTATATTTTTACTTTTCAAGTGGGATTGAACACTTCTCTATATCATATAGAGACAATTATAATAAAGTCTTAAAATAAATTACTAGTAAGTCTTTGAAACTTATCTTTGTAGCCTGTTTTGCTATTAATAGAACTTTTTAGTAATTATACTTCTTATTTGGAACTTCATAATAATTATCCCTATTATATATTGTCAAGAGCAGTTAAATTATACAGTAAATAATGAACATTGGTTGATCGGATGGGTTACTACTATTTTTATTTTCTTCATGAATAATAATAAAAAACAGCACAGTTCCACCACTTCACTGCAGCCCAGGAACAGCTAAGTTGAAACAACTACACACAGCTATACACTTCCATTATTGTACAACCACTATTCATAATGTTTTTCACAAAACTTCAACAAAAAAAAAAATCTACTGCACTTCTTCCTTCAGAAGCTTTAATTTCATTCAGGGAAACAGTAACCTGCGATTCAGTAAATAAAATAACGATTAATGAAACTTGATAATCTTAATTGTTTAGAGTTTTAAACTGATCAAACTCACCCACATGGATTGCAAATAATTCATGTAAGCCACAGGACTTAACACTAAAAACTTCATCGTCATGGACAACTACTACATTAATGAGGTTAACAATATCATCTCAAATGTACAGAGACACGCAAATGTAGGTTGTTGAGTACTAACAAGTTGTAGAAAGTGAAGCTTATCTAGAGCACTTGGCCCATTCAAAGCATAATCTAATAAAATGATCTTAAATATATATAAGTACTAGATAATTAATTTACAGTTATTGAGAATGATTAACGAGGTTTGTTTTCTATAATAAATGTGTTAGTTTACCTAAAACACCAGATTCATTCATTTGCATTGAAAATTACCTTCATCAATAAACAAATAAAAATAAAAAGCCCCTTAGTATTGCAACCAATATGATTGTTTAAAAAAGAATTATAAATTTGTAAAATAAAATGGATTTAGGACTTACAGTTAAAACCTAAACCATGCTCTTAACTAACTTCTATATTTAGGACAAAATACTTTTGAGGGAGCAAAATAACTAATCTACAGTAACCGGAGATCAAACACCGCTCTCTCATCAGTGGCGTTTATAGCAACTTACCTTGTTGTGGGAGGCGCGTCTGATGGTTGATCTTGTTCATCCACAAGCCATCGGGCCTATCAACACATAATTTCATTTCCCAGTTCGATACAATTCCCAGATCAGTACTGACAAAAACAAAGACCATAAGAATCTGAAACCTGTTCATTACCTGATCTAATCTCTGGTTTTCTTCCATGGATTTGGTGAACTGGGTTGGCATTAAGTTTAAAAACATGGAAAGTGAGACATTATATTATCACTATGAAGACACATTAATGAGAAATTAATTGACAAGAGAATTAGTGACAAGAATCTGACAACCTTCTTTAGCCTCTCGTTTTCTTCCTTGAGTCCGTCTTCCTTTATTGACATCAAAATTAAAACGCATTATTAAAACAAATATGAGACATGAATGAAGACTCACAACGTGCTACAAAGATTAACAAATATTTTATTAATGTAAGATGTTACTATAACTAAAATATGGGATGGAGGAAGTGCCTTAGACATTACTACATTGCATATTATATTACCACAAGACATTAAATGCTGTAAATATAAACTCAAAGTTATGGTTAAACTTAATCAGATGTGCTAAGTTCATTTTTTGTGTGTGTTTAAGTTGTTGACATTGGTAAGTATAGACTTTTTGATAAAGTTATGTGTTTAAAATTTTTTAAAAAAATCTGCTTTAGTTCTGTACGAGTTTATGTATGTTGAATTTACGTGTCTTTAATTTGAGGCATGTCGTTTGTGGTTTTTTGTAATCTCTATTAACTATGGGCTTATTTGAAGGCTCACGGAAATTACTCGCTCCATTCCTTTTTGATGGTCACTTTTTAAGAAAATTCTTGTTTATATTTATCTGTCATTATAAAATTTGAAGATAAAAATAATTACTATTTTCTTCATTCTACCCTTGTCTTTACTAACTTCAGAATTCCAAAGGCAGCATTAATTACTAAAATAAAAGGTTAAGTTAGAAGGAATTAATTCTGATCAATACTTTCTCATTATAACACTGAGGAAAAGGCTGAATATAATGCATAGGATTCTTTTGATAAACAAACATAACGCTAACCTTTTTCTTTAGAACATTGATCTCCTGCTCAAATACTTCGACCTGAAACATATAGAATTAGTTTCTATCTGTTCTAAATATTGCAAGCTGCGTTTTACCCATACCATGGAATCGAAGAACAGATAGAAAGAACAAACGCATCATAACTGTTTACTATCGCTAAATAGTAAAGAAACAAATGAAAAAAAAGAAGAGGCAACGTTATAGTGAACAGAAAACAGTATCAATAAACTCTAATCTTTATAACATAGTGAATAACATTGCATATCATCTCTCCAAAAAATGCTTTTTTGAATCAAACCCATATGAAGCTCGGAAAAGCAAGAAGCCTCAGGCAAGCCACTTACAATTCTTAGTTGTCTAGCTATGTTTAGGTTAAATTTCATTCTTGAATTGACGAAAAATAGGGGGAAAAAAACTAAATTTTAAATTGGCTAGAGTAGTCAAACCAAAGCGTGTCATCTGTATAATCTTACAAGTGTTAAAGTAATAGTTAGCAGGAATATTGTATCCAATGAAGAGGCTAGTTGGGAATGGAATATAACAAGGGAGCCATTCTTATTTGAATCCCTATAGACTGAGTTTGACAATGGGCAAGCAACGCCAACCTCCATTGTCAAGTCCATATTCTTTCTCATTTTCCTCACCTAGTGAAAGAAGTACCACAAGATCAACAGTTCTTCAGCATGAAGATCCTCTAGTGAAATACCGCCAAAAAATTCAATGTCTACTAAAAGCAAATTTATGCATTTTGTAGTTTTTCTGTGTATGTTTCAAACGCCAACACCCAACTTCTTTAGAAGCAATAGAAAAATTTGAGGGCAAAGTGCTACGACGGAGGAGATTCAAGCCATCCATAAAACTCAACATGCGTGGGAGTTAGATGTTCATGAAGGCCAAAATGTTATAAGGTCCCGAGGGGTAGAGCTGTTAGAGCCCAACACATTTAAACCAGCAGGCTTAACAATTAGGTCCCAAAATGAGTAAATGGGCTAAACGTTGGGCCCATTTCGGTCAAATAATTAAAAGGCCATCCCTTAAATATGTTTTTAAATTATTAACTACTAGAGACCAAGAGAGCTTCAGTCCTTCCATCCTCACACCAACTGCCTTCTGATCTCATTGTCAAGCTTCAACTCTTCAATCTTCCTTCAACTCTCAAAGTCTCACTTAGCTTGGTTGTTCTATGCGGGGTAAATTGTTTGTGGTTTTATCCTTCCCCATTCCTCTGCTGACAATGCAGTGTCCTTGACTTCTTTCTCCTAGGTACTCCTTCCTTCCTCTTGTGCTCTACTCTATCCTACTCCTCTTGTTCTTTCATTTAACATGACTAATGTTCTGTTAACATAGAGAAGTTATTATGAACTGGATCAGAGCATGTTTGAATCAATTATTTGTGCTTAATGTTAATTTTGTTTGTTCAAACACGCATGTATTTGTTTAGTTGCTGCTTGGCCAATATTAATTATGAATTAGGAGGATTAGGTTTTCCTTGACAAAGGGAATCTTGATTATGAATATAGATTGGGAAAGTGGGATTAGATGTGTTCTAATTTGCCATTAGGATAAACATATACCTAATGCACCCCATAAAATCATTAAAGAGTAACTTTGGATTTTATTGCCTCTGGAGTAATTATGCTGGGAATGGCATGTTTAAAACATTAAGAGAGGAGTATATGTGAATCAAGAGACATTAATAGCCACTAAAACTTCATATTAACTAAAAGGGGTTACCATTATAGGGTATGTGGTTTTGGAACAAGAACATTACCATTATGGCTTATACATTTTTAATTTGAAAATGTTAAAAAAATAGCTTTTTTGGCCCGGCCCTTACTAATGGAAGCATTTAAGAGTATAAAGCTCGATTTGTTTTCAAGGGATACTAACAACAAGGTATGAATTTTGAGGAGACTTCTCCAACTGCTCAATTTGAAATTGTGAGGGTTGTTTCATTTTTGCTTTCTTAGTTGCAGTTACCTGTTATTAATTTGATTCAAATTCTGCTTTTTAAATGATGAGTTAGAAGACGAGGTTAATGTGACATCCTATAATTTAGAAGGAACTCACATGAAAATTTTGTAGGGACCAACTTGTAAAGAAATATATAGTTTTGAGGTTTTATCCTAATTATGTATAGTGAAGGAGAAGTTGTGGCAGAAATATATAACTTCAAAACTATGGTACAAAACAGTCCCCTCAACATTAGAATGTATAATAAGGGAAAGTAAGAGATTTACAAGAGATTAAACCATATCTTTCTACAAAAGATGTATTTTGATATATTTACCCCTTCATTAAAAAAAATATTTTAAAATATTAATCCTTTTATGGAGCAACTCCTACACATTATAAACCCTAATTTTCTTTTGCCGCTAGGCCAAAAAAAAAAAACAAGGCAATGATAGCTTTACTAAGATGCAAGGAAGGAGAAAGCAAAATGAAAATTGAGAAAGTTATCTACATCACTAACCTAAACTTCTCTCCTCTAATTCTACACACTTGTTGTTGTAAAACACATAGTAAGGAAATCTCTTATGAGTACAAGCCAAAGGAGAGCTCAATCCCAAAAGACTAGTATATTAGAAGAAAGAGCTCATTAAACTCATAAACCACACTACACTTGCAAGACTCCCCAATATGGGAATCACAACAAAATCCTTGATATTGTCAATTCTGCACAAGATAGCAATCCTACTCTTCTTATATGTCTGTCTTGTTTGCGTGCCTAGTTTATTTTACTCAAAGTTAGAGCCTTGAATAGTTAAATATTGCCTCTTTGGCAAAGAATTATACCCTTGTGGTAAAGAAACTTGAAGGCAGAGCCTGTATAGTAAGAAAGCCTTGTGGCTAAGAGATGTCTTTATGGCATAAAAAGCAGGATAGGTAAAGGGGAGAGTGCAGTGGTTCTCTAATAATGAATTCTAGGTGTTTGTGATATCATCTAATTAATATGTATGTCATCTTTTATATAGTGATTCATTTTATGTTATTATATATGTTCATTCCCTTCCTATTGGGATTTTCCCCAAAATATCATCCCATCTTGTCAACCCATACTTGGCGAAGTTAGTGGAACATACAATGACAGGCAAGTTGTCAATGAGTTTTGAGAAGAATAAAGAGGATCTAATTCAATTATGATTCAGTTACGTTTGGAATAATTAAGGGATGAAAAGCATCCCGTAATTGGGTTAGATTTATCAGGTTTCTCATATTGGAGTTATAATGGTCAACCTAAGTCATATTTGGCATATTCGGTAAATTATAGTTATAAATATATAAAATGATTTATGAACAGAGATTTGAGAGGACTATGAATGATTTTCCTATATCTGTACCATTTGGATATATAGGATATGAGGATTATGAGACTGCTCATTATCAATTATAAAAGGAATGCGGATAAGGTTAGTTAGTGTCTTAAATCGGTCATTGTGAGCATTCTTTAATTTGTATCTTACACAGTTGAAGGGTCAAATGAGCATCAAACAGGAAAAATCATTTCCTATAACTAAAGGACATGTAGAGCATTAAAACTAGAATTTATTTAGGTTACGTCGATCCCTGTAGCAAGAGGCAAAGTTGAAACACAATACAAGAGAAAATGTTTAAATTATGCATTTTATTATGAGGATATAGTTGCTTTTTGATCCGCGATTTAAAATTATGTTCACAAAAGGGGAAAGAATTATAGATCATTACTAACATTCTTTGTGGAACCATGGATTAAGGTAGCCTTATGGTAGCCCCCAAAAAAAAAAAAAAAGTAGCCTCATGGTAGCCAAAAAACAAAGAACAAAAAGGTGGCAGTATAAAGAGACTTTAATTGACCTTTCTAATGATAAAAGAATAGGGAGATCTTGACCTTATCTAATTTTTATTTCATTCACTTCCTATTTTTTATGCCGCAATGAATATTTGAAATATAATATATAGTTTTGTCATTATAAAAGGGACAAATCGAATATTATGAGCTAAACAAGATGAATAACTGTCAAATAAGCCTCTGCATATGAGACAGTTGGGAAAACGACCAGAAAAAAAAACATGTTGAATTTCAAAAAGACAAATAGGCCATGGTTACTATTCTTGTAATGGTTTGGACTACTCTTCTAATGACTTTAGCAAGTCAAAATCAATCAAAATCACTTAGCTGTCATTTTGAAATTCAACAGGTATTTTTTTTGTTATTTTTCCTCTTTCTCAAATAAGCCATTGTTTAATTGACAGTTGATAACTGTAATTTACGGGATAAAAAAATCATAAAATATTTCAATTTTTGTATTACTGTCATAAAAGGAAAAGACAAACCTTTGCTTTTGAAACACGATGCAAGCTTGTGCTAAGTAAATCTTCTAGCTTCCTCAGATCTTTTACAGACAGCCCTTGTAGATCTTCTCCATTGAGCTGTCTATTATTAGATGTAGAGCAACATATTTGAATCTATAATAAACACATTGTACATCCCCCATAATAAAATCTTTAACACCATTTAATAATGGTAATAGTAATACCTTATTTCAAGAGTCTTCTCTTCTATTTCCTTGTTTAGCTTAAAATATTCACCTTCAACCTGTCCAATTACCATATGCTTTCCACATTCAATGACAAAAGTTTTGGTATACTCCAAGCATTTTCATATTAGGTATGTATATGGTCCATCATACCCTTGAAAAAAAAAGAAGTAACTGTTGAATAATTATTGCAGTAATATAATATACTTCCTAAATATTAGTTAAGAGGTTTCTTTTGGTTCTAATTGAAGTAGACCTCTCACTTTTTATTCCAAATTTATAATTTTTTGTGAAATTATCTCTATTTTTATAGGCATTAATATCCTCTAGTAGAGACAATCCTAATTACACAAATAAAAGGAGTTTTCATCAATGAGTGTAGTTTCCAATGTCAGTGACTAGAGGGGATATTTCAGGATAACCAACACACATTTTTTAACAAATAACTAATTTAATTTTCTTAATATATGTAAATTACTTATCTAACTCGAATATTTAGGGTGAGGGAAGTATATTGTACTTCCCCTGATCCATATTATAAGACGTTTCTAACTAATTTCCAAGTCCTAAAAAAATAGTTAAAAGCATTAAATTTGTCATAAAATTTAAGAGATTTCTAATATTATCCTTATTAATCACACTAAATTCCAATATCATACTAATTTTTATTCTCTCTCACTATCCTTATTAAATATGGGCATATATGGGAAGAAATATTTAATGCTCATTGAAACTATCAAAATGTCTTATAACCAAAAATATTTTTGTAAGATTTTTTTATATACAGACACACAGACAGAGATGGGAAAAAGAAAGATGAATCAAAACAGCAACAGATGAAGGGGTAGAGAGCAGAAGAAAAATTATACCTGTAGCTCTTGAGATGGCTGGTATGACTTCACAAGGTTCACATCTGAGTATAGGTTTCTCCTTTCAATTACTTGCCTCGTGCTTAAAACAACAAAAATATTGAAAATTAAAATGGAAGTCGTACTTTAAAACTATTTCTAACCGAATTATATAGCATAAATTATCATTTGATGAATTAAAATTATTTATGGAATTTAAATTTTAATGGAAGTCATACTTTTGCTGTGGGGAGGGGCACAATGGAAGTCATAGTTAAAATAAGTGAATTTAAATACAGCATTAAATTTGCTTATGTATCCAATCAGTCATGTATATATATACCAATGAATTTATTCTTAGTGGCTTCCATGGCCAAACATTACAGATGGGTGTTTTATTTAGAGATATATATGTGACAATAATGTGTAATATAATAGCATTTGTTTAATTAACCGAATCTTAACTCTAGATAGACTCATTCAAAATTATAACATTTAAATATTGCCATTAATGGATATCAAAATATGAAGACAACAAGGAAAACGTCAAGAGCAATCTGTGATAAGCTGATAGCCTTACAAAACTTTTAGTATCTTCAAAGCAAAAGTGACCCGACTGTTCTAGTAGCATGTTCTCATAATCCTCTTTAAACTGTTTTAATCCACCTAATTAATCAATAAAAAATACAAAGTAAAAAAAATTATGAACTAAAAGTTAATTTGGGATGTTCTCTATTGCCCAAAAAAAGAAAACATCCCTGCCTCTTAAAAGTATGCCGTATTTGTACTTCTCCAGACCATTTAAATTAAACTAGAAGATTTAAATCTTCTTTTGATATTTTTTATTTTGAAAGCAACATAGTAAAAAAAATATATACAATTTTCCAACACCATTGAAAGTGATTTTGAATAAAAATAGAATTAAAATATTAAGATAAAAACCATCTCATATACAGCCTATATCTCCCTAGAGATGAAGAGAGGACATGCAGTACCGCTTGAACAGCGTATTGTGGGCCTTTTTTTTTTCCCCCCCTGTTTCCAAAAGAAATCAAAGACGAATACATTATTCTTGACTTGTGAATAGCGTAGTTTCTTGTAGATTTTAAATAATTGATATAACTATATTGATCGTTATGGAAAGGATCATATTTTTTTTACAGAAGAAAAATAGCATCTTGACATTAACAAAAGCCTCTGGAACTGAAGCAGCTTCATGAAATCTAATATTCCTCCATATATGTGTCGTTTTCGTTATTTTCAAACCACTATTTTGTACTGTTTTAAGTTTTAAACGTTGATTATTGTACATATTATTCACATCAACGTTGAACAAATTCCATAGTCTCTTCCAAGACTATCAAGATTTCAGTGTTCAAACTATTTTAGCAGCAACCTCAAGACATTGTGTAAAAAGTTAAAGGTATAAGCAAAACACAGTTATGATGAGATTACTCATTATTTTCAATTATACCCACATGATTAATTCTCAGATACACACATATATAAAAGCACACAAAAGGACTATATCACAACTTTTTGGTCAGCACGTCTAGTTCAAGTTTTCTTCTTACAGCAAGAGAAGTACTGTGTGGAAGCAACTTGAACCTAAATCATTTCAATTAGAGAGAGAGAGAGAGAGAGAGAAGATACCTTGTACTGGCACAACAGAAGGTAATTTTCGCCGAAACATGAACATGGTAATTGATGATCAAACAGATGAGATACATAAATGCTGACACTTAAAAAAGAATAGACAAATGAATCATGGGTCAAACTTGGTATGCTAATAATCTGGATTCTAGGTTGAGTATTGTGCTTTTTAGAGCCATTTCATGTGAAATCTCACTCTATCAAAACTGAAGGAGATTATATAGACAAATTTAGAAGAGAGCACAAATGAGACGAATAAAAGCATAGGCTATCACAGCTTCTTTATCAGCAAATAAAGATCAGGATTTATTTTCCTCTAAACAAAAACGAAAATCCCAGACGTGATTAAAATTCAGATTATTCTGATTCCTAGTGATAGAACACACATATACATTATATACAGAGAGAAAAGATACCTTGTACTAGCATAATCAAAGAGTTTGCCCGAAGCTGAAAATACTAAGAGAGCAATCTCAGCATCACAGAGAGTTGACAGCTCCATAGCCTTCTTGAATAGACCTTTCCTTCTCTTTGAGAAAGCCACCTGCCTCGCAGCTACGTTCTCGATCTTCTTTATTGCTATCTTCCTTCTCGTCATTTCAACCAATCTCTCCTTCAAACTAAAACCAAGTTAAATCAAAGAGAAAGAATTAGGGAAATCTAAAGATTTAATCCAGTCTCAGACAAAAATTAATTACGCAGAAGAATATTATCTGCGTGTTAAACGAAAAAGACAAGCATAAAATGAAGAGAACTTGGATTGGGCGTAGGTGGAACAACAAGATAAAAAGAGTTTGAGGCTTGGATAGGATAGATTAGGAAGGATAAGTGCAGATCTAAGTAAGAAATACAGAGAGAAGGGGAGGTTTCTTCTTGAGAAGGAGAGCGAAGTGTTGTTACCTGCAAGAATATTCTGAAATGTGATGACTGAAGAAAGGATGAAAGATAGAGTCTTGGTGAGCAGGAAATTATTAAGGAGGAGACAGGCTTCCCTAAATTAAAAAAAAAAAAAAAAAAAAAGAAGAAACTCTTGCGGTGGGTAAATTGATTGCATTAATTGCAGCTTTATACATGGGCACACGCATTCGCTATTTAGTACGAGTTTGGGATCACTAATTCACTAAAAAAAAAAAAAAAAAGCTACCACTCTACTCCTCATGAAGAAATTTTTTTGTCAAAAACATCGGTAATTTGTAGGGTATTTAACGATTATTTTCTAATTTTGTGAGCTCTTATTTAATTTTTATTGAAAAAAGAGAAAAGAGAGATAACAGGTAAGAATGATTTGTAGATAAAGAGAAATAGAAAATTTTAATGAGGGTGTGTTTAAAAAATTTTATCCATAAATACAGTTTTTGGTATGTGAGAATAAGTTATAAGTAACTTATAATAAAAACTCGAGTAGTATTATATTTTGAGACAAAATTCTCTTTACATATTTATTTTATATAATATAAAATTACTAAAAATAAATTGTGTTAAATTATATTTAGTATTCTAAAGTATTTTTTATGTATTTAGTATCAAAAACTAATTTTTTTTATATTCATTTAGCATTTTAAAGTATTTTTATAGTAGCTCCTAATGTTCTAAAATAAATTTTAGTACAATTTTGTATCTAAAGCATTTTTCTAATAGCAAGTAGTACTCTCTACACTTATGATACTGAATATTACTAAAAATATATATTAATTATGGTGATAGATATACCAAAAATTATTTTAAGATACTATATGTTATTGAAAAATTGTTTTAGAGTGTTGGAGGAGGGGTGAGGGAGGAGGTATTTGGTTATTTTTGAGCACATTGTTCATCCCTCCTGTGCTATAGGATGCATTTTGAAAAATAAAAGTTTAAATTATAAGCTGCCTAGTAAATGTAACGGCTCATTGGGACAGATAAACAATACACCCCTTTAGAAACATATAAGAAGTTTTCTCCTTGTACAGCAAGAAAAATTCAAAATTCTATCTATGTATAGAATTATGATGTCAAATAGATTCATAAAATCATCAAATCCATTAGACTATGATTTAAATTAAATACTTTTTTCTTATTCTTTCCCGAAAAAAGAAAATCACTTGTATTCGCAACCTCACGACTCAAGCTGGATAACTCTCAAATAACTCAAAGGAAAACAAAACCTTTAATTAGGCATTTTATTTCATTTATTGAGGGGTCTCTTCCCCTTTTCTTGTCTGTCTATTAAATTATAAGCTGCCTGGTAATTGTTGGAATATTTTTAAAATGAAAAGATGTGTTTTTGAAAAGTCATGTTCTTATATAAATTTATTAAATTAATAAATTTATATGAGGGGTTCTGTCTTCATATAAATTAATAAATTTATTTGAAGAGTTGTATTCTCACATAAATTAATATATTTATATGAAAAATTGTGTCTTCATGTAAATTAATATATTTATATGAAAGGCTATGTAGGTAGTTACAATACTAAAAGACCCTACATATTAAATACATTTTATTTATTTAAATTATGTTAGTTCATGAACCAACATATGGGACTTGTATTTAA